TGCGCTGGGCCCCCCCACAATGCGGCCAGCGGCCTGCGTCACATTGACCTTCCCCGGGCGCCTCTCGCCACATGGCCCTGGAAAGATGGAGCGACAAGTCCTGGCGTTCTCACCATCGAGGCCCACCTGCTCTCAGCCCTGTCCCCTTGGAACTTTTTTCAGCCTCACCTGGCTCAGGTGGGTCCTGGAGCAGGGGGTGCCCAGGTCCTGCTGAGAAACAGACCATTTGAGCTTTCCTGCCATCCTCCTGGCCTTCCTCTACCCCAAGCTGTGCCCAGCCCTCTATCTCCCCTGGGCTCCCTTTCTCTTGCGCCCCGCCCCCCCCCCCCCAGTGTCTGTCTCAGCAGCCACAAACTCACTCTTCACCAAATGAGCTCACACTGTTCCTCCCCTCCTGCCCTGGCACAAGCGGCGCCCCAAGCCTGGCATGCATGCGCTTTCCTCTTAGACCTTCATAGCCTTGTCCTGTTGCAGCCCCACTCAGTCTCCCTCTCCGAGAGGCGTCGAGTCAAGGGAGGGGGTGGGGTGGACAGGAGAACGGTCCCAGGTAGTTGGTGCAAGCTCACCTGTGCAGGGGGTGGTGCGGTTGGCACAACTTTGGCACTCATGCAATCTATGCTGGATCTCCATCGCCACTAGATTTACGGCCCACCGGGCGCTCCTCCGGGCGGCCTGCAATGCCTTTGTCCCCTGGGCCGACAAAGCTGCTGGGACATGGGGCACAGTCATGCCTGGTTGGGGAGGAGCTGCGGGCTTGTCCTCCTTGCCCCAGCTCCAAGCCCTGCCTTGGGAGACCCACAGGGAAGCAGGCTGGGCTCCCAGAGCGCTGGGGTGGAATGGGAGGAGACAGAGCCCCAAGGCCCCAGGGCCCAGCACTCAGAGCCAATGGTTCTGGATTCTCAGCCCAATATATCTCTGTAATTCAACTGGGCTGGAATCTTCTTTTTTTTTTTTTTTAATCCTCACCTGAGCATATTTCTCCATTGATTTTTGGAGAGAGTGGAAGAGAGAGGGAAAGACAGAAATATCGATGTTAGAGAAACACATCGATTGGTTACCTTCTGCATGAGCCCCGACCAGGGACCGGGCAAGGGAAGAGCCTGCAACCAAGGTACCTGCCCTTGACCACCATCGAATCTGGGACCCTTTGGTCCACAGGCCAACGCTCCATCCACTGAGCCAAACTGGCTAGGGCTGGGCTGGAATCTTTGAAAAGGGCATTTCCTTAAAAACCTTGAAGGAAAAACAGTACCCTGAAGATTCAGACATCACAGAACTCAGATGTATTGACACAAAATGACTGTGGTTGAATTGCCCACCTTTAGGCCCAGAGAGCCAAGGGGATGCTCTAGGCTCTTTCCTCCCTGCTAAACCTCCCCGATGCACACCCTCGTTGGCTCCCCTTCCCTTCCCATCCTCATCTTCCCCCTCCCTCTCCTACCTGGGTTCCTCGCCCCTTCTCCCTGCACGGTGGGCAGAAGAAGCCAAAGGTCCTTGTGAATTCAGGTAGCAGGCTCATGTTCCTCTGCCCGGGACCCACTTCCTCTCTGCTCCTCCCTCCTTGGCCGCTCCCTCAGACCACCCCGGGCTCACCTTGCAGGGTGCTGGGGGGCAGGTGCATGTACAGCGGGTGCCCATGGGCAGACCATGGGTCTGGGAGGGGCAGCAGCAGCAGCAGCATAGCCAGCAGCATGGTGACCAGGAGCCGGGGCACTGACCCTGTTCTATTCCCCCCCTCCCCTCCGGGGTCCACCCTCCAGGCGCTTATGCTGTGGTGCCTGCCTTTCTGTCCCTGAGCACTGAATTCAAGTCACTGACCCTATTCTTTTACATCAAAGTTAGCATTTCCCTGGTCATCCCTCACCTGGTCCTTAACTCCCGGAGCCCACAGGGGAATGGGGCTTAGGGGGCTATATAGAGGACAGATGGGGGAGGTGCATAGGAGGGGGCTAGGGTTGAGGGAGGGCACAGGGTAGTGGGCTCAACCCTCACCTTTGAAGTTGCGTCATCCGGCTCTGAGGCTCTGAGGCCCCCTTCCCTCAAAGGAGCCCTTGTTTCTAGGCTCCATCAAAGGGGCCTGGACAACCCAGAAGAGCTGACCGTTAGGCTGGGGGCCAGGCAGAGGGGGGCTGATGGGCAGGGGCTGGCGCTGTCTCCAAGGCTCAGATGGAGGGTTTCCCATCTGCCTCGATTCCCTGAGGAGTTCACAGCAATGCTGGGGGCAGATAATCTTGGGGGACGGTGGGCAGGGTTTGTCTGAGGGTCCTGGGCAGCCCCAGCCCCTGTGGAGGTGCCTGAGCTCCCAGCTCCTCTGCCCCTAATTGCTTGGCAGCATCCCTCCCCAATGTGGCCATTTCTAAAGATGATCAAAGCGCCCTAATTAGTGCCGTGATTGCCCTACTGGGGGTAGTGGGGTGGGAAGAGGCAGAGGCAGGCAGACACTGGAGTGGCCCAGAGAGGAAGGCGGGAGATGAAAGGCCCCACCAGTGGCCCAGTTTGGGGAGGACAGGCCCCAGCAGCTTCTAACGCTCTCCCAGACCTCCCACCCCTGCGCAGGGCCCGCTGGGCCTGTCCAGCATTGTTCTCAGTGGCTATGACCCTGAGCTGGCAGAGGGAGTCTTCTGGAGTCTCACCGGAAGGGCTACAACTGGGCAGCTCTCCTGGGACAGAGTCTCCACCTGGTGCCCTTCTGTCCCCCAAAATGTCCTGGGGCCCCCAAAATAATCCTGTCACCCCAATTCATGCTGGTGACTGCAGGGTGGCTTGGCAGGCCTGGTCCTTTTCCAGAGTGGATTCTGTCCTGACATCTCTCCAGCCCTTGTTCCTTCTGCACAGGTGAACGAGACTCTAATGGGAACCTGCCCCACTTGGTGAGACAGAGGCTCAGACCTGCCGTGATAGGGCTATGGCTGAGGTTCTGGGGCTCCCTGGCCCAGGCAAGCCAGGGGCAGGTGCCCTTCCTCTCTCCCTGCCAAAGAATGGAGGTTTAGGGGAGACCCATACACACTCCCACCCTCACTGCAGCTTCTGAAACTCGACCTGGCCCCAGGGTAGGAAGAAGAGCTTTGCATCAAGCCAGAGAGGGGAGTTTCAATGGACAATTTGCCAGGAGAAGATTTGAACCTGGCGGGTGGGGAAGGCTCAGAATCTGGCTTCATGTTGGGAAGGAAGCTGCCCCTTCCAGTGGGAAAGGAGCCTCGCCCAGCACAGAGAAGTGGAATCGTTTTAAATCTCTATCCCAATGAAATGAGAGTCCCCTATAAGCTGGCGAGAGCCCTTGGCAGTGTGAGCTTGGTCACTTGTCTGTCTGCTGTAGGGGAGCAGGGCTTTCTGTCTCCTCCCTGTGGTGTCAGCATCTGGGACAGAGCCTGACACACTATTTGCTAAACAAATGAAGGCATGAGTGATCAGTACTGGTCACTCATGCTCCAGGGCTGAATTCCCTGCCTCCTGCATGACAACCTCCACCTGCCCAATTCGAGCGAGGGGGGGGGGGGGCTCCCCTCCCCCATCAGCTCCCTTTCCACACAGCGGTGGCCCTTCTCCTCCATGTCCACATCCAGTCTGCTGGGTCCCTTCCTCTCCCTTGGAGTGTGGGTCAGGGGGAGAGCGGCGACATTGTCTGGGAAGGCCTGTAGGTACCAACACTTTATTTATTTTAAATGCATTTTTATTGATTTCAGAGAGGAAGAGAGAGATAGAAACATCAATGATGAGAGAGAATCGTTGATTGGCTGCCTCCTGCAAGTCCTTGACTGGGATCAAGCCCACAACCCGGGCATGTGCCCTGACCTGGAATCCTGGAATCGAACCTCCTGGTTCATAGGTTGATGCTCAACCACTGAGCCCCCTGGTTGGGTGGTACCAGCACTTTACATGGTTATCTCTGAACTTGGGGTAGGAATGTGGCCCCCCAGCCCCAGGTGCAGAGCTGGGGTCTCCTCTCTTCTGCTGTTCCCATGTTATTTCCTCTTTGCCTCCCAGTTTCTTGGACGGAGTGGACAGAAGGACTGTCAGGGTGCAGGAGGGAAGCAGAAGGGACTCCAGAGACTGTTGGTGACATTTGCAGCTTCTGGATTCTCGGCCTCCCCTCCAGGCTCCAGGCTCCTGCCTGGGAGGCGAGCTGCCTTGTCTACCATATGCTGACCTTCCTGCCCTGGCCCTGCGAGGCCACAAGCTGTCCCACCTCGATCCCTCTCACAGGTGGAGGCAGTCTCCACCCCCAACTCCCACTTCAAGAGGAGGGTGAGAAAGGAGCTTGGACCTTTTCGTTGATGCCTCTGGAAAACCCCAGCAGACTGTGTCAGGAGGCTCCTGTGGGTGAGCCAGCCCCCGGCCTCCCTCTGGCACAGAGCCCGCCCTTGTACTCAGAGGAGGGTGGTGCAGGGACCCTGAGCCTCTGGAAATGGGAAGGAGACCCAGGCACTTGCCACCTAGAGACAGAAGCTGTCTCTCCAGGTCACTACACTTGTCCTCTGGGCGAGGACCTTCCCCTTCCTTCCTCCTCAGAACCCTCCCTCCATCCCAAACCACCCTGACCACCCCTAGCCCCACCGGGAATGGGCAAAAGCCAGTGGGTGGGAGATTCACCCAAGAGCTGCGAGGTTGAGCACCACCGTGGGCTGGCTCCAGGCTGGGCATTTTATTTCTTAGGTTGAACCATCTGAAATTACCATTCTTTCCATCAAAATGATCAGATACAGTCAAAATAGCACTGAAACAGTCCTGGCCAGTGGCTCAGTGGTTAGAGCACTGGCCCGCCACACACCAAGGAGTCTTGGGTTGATTCCTGATCAAGGTGGTTCGGGTTCACTTCCTGCCCTCCGGGTTGGGTTGCAGTGGGAGGCAACCAGTCGATCTCTCTCTCTCTCTATCTTTCTCTATCTCTATCTCTATCTCCCCTCCCTCCCTTCCACTCCCACTGATAAGCAATAGAAAAAATATCATATGAGGATTAACAACAACAGCAAAGAGCAAAAAAAACAACTTTATTTAAACATGTCAATATTTACACATTCCAGAAATTACATCTTTTTCCCATTTAAATACTATGGAAACTTTTAGATAAGGAGGGCATGTCTAGGCAAATTCTTTCAAGTTGAATATGTACAAAATTTTGAATATCACTGTTCAACTTTGTGATTAAAAGAATCAAACCATTGCACAATTCTGCTTGTTGCTTCTCCTTTTTTGGTATCTTTTGTCTTTCTTTCTTGTGATCTCTCACCAGTTTTCTATCCCTTTTCTCAATCTTGCTTTCAGCTGTGTTTTTCTGAAACTTGCTATTTTAACGCCTTCAATTTCTACTATAATATTCAAATGTCTCCTTTTCCTACACGATATAGTCTCCCCAATCAATATTTTTATTCTTATTGCGTTCGGACCTTTCTGTTAACACGAGATGATCTTTTTAGGAAACGCTGTGTCTTTAATGAAGAGACACTCTCTGGAGTCTCGGTTTCCTTTGGTGTTACTTCCATTTATTTTCTTCTGTTAAAATAAAATTAGATTGAATAAATTATAGCTAAAATATCGATCAGATCCCTATAAGTCTTACAGCAATATTTCTATCATTTGTCTCTCTGAACTTCTATCTGCATCAACGCAAAAAGAAATTTCTGAAAATGGTGGTTATTCATTAATCATGGCTATTTCTGACAGGGAGATGTATTTTTATGCTGTTTCACTTTACTGTCTTCTTTGTGCTTTCCCACAATGCTTGAATTCTTAACAACCTGCCTGGCTGGTGTGGCTCAATGGTTGAGCACTGATCCATGCACCAAAAGGGTGCTGGTTGGATTCCTGGTCAGGGCACATCTGGGTTGTGGGTTCCATCCCCAATAGGGGACATGCAGGAGGCAGCAAATGGATGTTTTTCATCGAGTTTCTCTTTCAACAATGTTTCTATCTCTCTCTCCATTTCCCTTCCTCTCTCTAAAAATAATAAACAAACAAATAAATAAATAAAACCAGCAGGGAGTATTTGTACAAATGCAAAACCTGAAGAGAATGAAGGAAATGCAGGGCCCCAAGTAGAAACAATACAAAGCCTGTTGATGCAATATGTTTCCCAATAAATATTGATGTCAAAGACTGGTTAAATATAGGCAATTTTGTGTGGTTCCATGTACTACAATTTCATATATTATAAACCTTTATAATAACTGTTTGAGACAGGTGTTATCAGACCCATTTTACAGGTAAGGCCTTTGAGGCTCATGGAAGTTGAGTGATATGGCCAAGACCACATCACTAGAAACTAGAGGAGTCAAAAACAATTCTGCCTGTGGCTGAAGCTTGTACCCTTGACCTCCACCCAGACCTGCCTCCTGAGTCCCAGATGCTCCTAAACTGTGCCAACCTGTTGGGGTTTTTGAGGGCTCAACACAAAGGTCAAATGTTCTTCTTAAAGGGGTGCCTTGTCCTTAAAGGGGGGTGGGGAGAATGGCTGTGCCAAGGCAGGAGAGGGCTAGGTGGAGCGGCTGTGATAGCACCTGGGGCTGGAGGTGGGGGTCTGCAAATGTGAGACAAAGCAGATGGTGAGAGACCAGGGGCCCAGAGGGGTTGAAGCGAGGAGGAAGAGGGGAAACCAGGACCACAGATACCACTAAAGTTCCTCCAGCATCTATGTTGCATTCCAGTTGGCTGTACTTCCCAAGAACCCTGAGGTCTAGGGGGTCAAGTGGGGTGGGG